CACACACACACAGAGGCATCCTTCAGATTCTGCTTCCGAGGCTCTGCAGTCTCACTAACTTGCCGTATTCTCTCTCTCATCACTATTCCCCTTCGCTGCTGTCTCAACTCCTTTGTTTCTGTGAGCTTTTACAGCAGTGTCTACGTATTTGTCTAGAATCATGACTTCAGAAGCAGCCTGACAGGCATTCAAAGAACTAGAATTTATTTCACCATCATTTTGCTGCCAGGGAACACGCTATGAAGAATGCAGCAGCACTGCACACGTATGTTACGTGTGGCTTAGTTTGAAACACTGGGTCCTCTGTGAATGGCACCCTCTATATTAAAATATACCTATCCCATTACCGTACCATTATCAATACCTATATAAATAAATGTACAATTTGTTTTCTTTAGTTACTAAGTCTTTTTTACAGGATCTTGAGATGGCTTTTTGAAGAACCCACCTGGATGCAAAAGAATCTCAGGAAATATAGATAATCTTTAAAATACTGTAGAATAAGTTTTGTCTAAACTAACTTATAGCAATGTCCCTAAATTCCACGGGAAAACAAAGTAACTTATTAAATCTTGATGGAGCTCTTGACTTCAGTGGATTAACCTGACCCAAGCAAAATGGAACTTCATAGTCTGTATTTAAGCTTTACGTAAAACTCACTAGATACACAAAACACTTCTAACTTAATCTCTAGTATTTCTTTTTTCCTGTGCATGTACAGTTTGTGAAAATGGAAGACACAGCCGATACTACAATGCTAAGAGTACAACACGATGAAGGCACTGGGTAGCAGAAAATCCTCTTCTGGCATCATATTCAGGCATTTAAAAAATAAGTTTCAGATGAAAAATTTATTTAAGTTTGATCTTAATATTGTTTACATAACAAATTAGCACAAGATCTGATTTCTTTCATTCTTTTAAATTATTTATTCAACAATTCTGTTTTCACCCCTCCATCCTCTTTTCCAAAACCCACACAAAGTCTGCAATACAAGATTATTTAACTGGAGGATTCATACTGGGTATATACAATTATATATCACTCTCTTTATCCTGCAGTGATGCATATCTGCCAGAATGACTAAGCCTTTGTCTCTCAAAGTTCTGGTATCCGCAGCGGCAGGGGAGTTAAAAATCAGCACAAGAGAGAAAGGTCTGATGGTGTGCCAATGTACAATGGAAGAGAATTCAATAACAAGCTGCAGAGACAGTGGGCTTTTATCAGACACATTCAAAAGTGGTGGTGGCTACACGTCAATGCTGGACCAGAGTGTGTTACTGCAGAGTGCGACGGAGTGTTTTCCCCACAGGCAATACTCTATTATTGACTCCCCCCATTAACATGTAGGGTGGATATACATTTATTGAAGGTTCTAATGGAAGGCTGAGGGACTCCTATCCTGAGGCCAGAGCAGAAAGACAGCCTATCACTTCATGTAATGGTAGCCCATGTGTGACAGACCTGACCTACATTTCCCCCCTTTCTTTCTCACAACAGCCTGTCACTGTTTTAAGAAGCTATTTTCCGAGTGGTATAAAGAGAAATGCATGCTAGAGCTGCCTAGTTAATGTGTTATATTGGAATATTATTTATAAACCTGCTTTAAAACGACTAGTTTAGACTACAGATGAATTATGAAAGCTACCATAACACACACAACACCAAGAAGAAACGTGTCTTAATGATTCTGAAGTGCTTATAAACCCATACACATTGAACACTAGGTATAAATAGATTAATACCTCTATCTAAGATACTGCAACAAAATGTAGTTTAAGACTTAATTTTAAGAATGCTTAATGAAGCTGCTTTAATAATGTAAAAAGGGCTAAGGTCTATAATTAGGATAAATTTCATATTCATTTGTATTACTAGGAATAACGCCACCTAATGTTTTGTTAGAAGTAATTCAGTATTTTCACTAGCTAATGTATGTGTAGCAAAAGCTATAAATAATAGATCCACATTTGAAAGTAGGACAAGAGTGAAAGAACCATTTGGTTCAGCAATAAACAGCATTTTAAAATACCATCTAACTACCACTCCCAGACCCTGCTTATTTAAAGAGCTGCTGCCACTACAGCACTCCTTGGCAGGAACCTACCACGCTGCTGCAGGTCATACTCTTTTTTTGTCTCTTCGTTCCCTAGAATTTTCCACGCTTGATCAATTTCGATGAACCTCTGCACGCGCTCCTCCACTTCTCCTGCTGGCACATCTGCCTTCTGTTTGTCTGGATGATACTGCCAATCAAAAAAAAAAAAAAAGATAAAAAAAGTTGAGAGGAGTGGAAGCGAGGAGGGTGGAAGAGGAGCAATCAATAATGCATTTGATATTCAGTTAAAAGGACAGAGAAAAGGAGAAGGTCTGAGCTAAGGTGCCAAAGGAAGGGAGACAACAATGCTGGGCACAAGAGAAAACTGCCAATTTAATTATACCACTGAAATGGCAACAAAACCACCAGTGGCACAAATGTCACCATGCGCACTGATGGCATTTTCTGGATAATTTGCTGATGGAATCATTGGTCTTCTGGACAATTTACCTAGAGAGAATGACCACCACAAACAGAAATAGGTACATGCAGAGGACCACGACACTGGAACAAGAGGAGGTGCTAGCAGCTCTCGTAATATTACACATAGCCGATTTAAACAATACCACCAATATTTAGTTAAGGCTATTGTAGATAAATTGAATGCTGTATTACATGTACCTAGCTTTTAAAAATTATTTCAATGGTAAATAGAATATACATGATCAAATATAATTTATAATACATGTAATTCTACTTTTGAAAACACGCCTCAACATCTTTACTTTCTTCCAGTTCAGTGAATCAATAGCCCTTCCAAATATTTAAAGTCATGGATCACTGGCTACAAAATTGTGTCACTTTAGTTAAGAAATCATTATTCAAGGACATGGCTGCAAGAAAACACACGTTAAATAGGCAATAACAATTAAAATGCTAACACGTTTTATTTACCATTTGTACTACAGGTTCTGAACAGAGCATTCTGACTTTTTTGGTTCAAATGTCTACTGAATAGGAACCCTCAAAGCTCCATCTTCCTGTAGCTTAAATTCATCTCCAATAGTCTCTTTTTTGATATTTTAAATTGCTCAGTATAAGTGATGGACCAACAGGAAACAGCATTTAAGATGAGAAATTTGCAATATAATCAGACCTATCAGCTGTTAAGTGTGTTATGAATCAAGATATCCCTTATTCTGGAGCTTTAACTTCTGACCTTTATGCTAATATCAGTTAGGCCACTGAAATGCACAGCAGATTTTAATACTTAGAACACCTCTTCTACAAGTGTTTGAGCAGATTTCTGATTAACTGAATCCTTTGTTTTAAATTAATTTTGGAAAGGAAAGAAAAGAATACTAATATCTAATTACTAATACTAATACAAAAATCCCAAATTTAAAAGGACCACTTCTACTGGAGTGTATTTGCTCACTGATGTATGTTATCTGTCATTTGCACTGATGGGTATTACCTGGATAAATCCCCCGTCTGACAAGAAGAGAATGTACACAAGTGCAAAATATTAAGCTTCGACCTCAAGTTTCTTCACCAGTATTTTTCCATATACAGATGAATCATACCTGCAACCACAAGTATGAAGTCTGTACACAAATGTATATTTTTGTTCCACCATATGAGTAAGCACACTTGAAGTCATCTCTGCATTCAAGACTGAAGACTAGCTTGCAACTTGCTGAAAATATGGCTGAAGCACAGTTGTGATCCGAAAAGGTTTATCTCTTAGAAATCCCTTTTTTATCTCCCCAACTGAAGATGATAAAATTCTAAGGCACAAACAAATAAAAACATTTTTGGTCATTGCAATTAGTCATTGTATTCTAAATAGCTAATTAGATAAAGAGTAATTACACCTTTATTTGGTAGGCACTAAATTCAGTGTTCTGTCAGCATGCATCATGTTGTACTGTAAAAGCTATTTAAATGGTTTATTTGTTTTCAAATCCATTTTTCTGAAACCGTAGCTTTTCCAGTTGTATTTCAATTTTAATAGCATTTTTAACATCGGTGGTTGATTGTATACCATGTTTGTGAAAAGTCATTTAAAAAAAAAATCAATGCCAAATAAACATACAAGGTAAAATAGTCAGATCACATTAAAAGACTTACATGGTTTCCTTTTATCAATTTTATTTATTTTAACAATTATGTTTGAGGTATGCATCCAGCAGTTACCCCTAAAAGCAGTATTTTATCTAAAAAAATGATATTTCATTATTTTAAAATATTTCAGATGCTGTATTTAAAATTTGGACCCATCCCAAATATTGTAGGCTGAATTATAATATCTACATAGAGAGTTATATGACTGCTATGTACTTCACTCCATTTGGATGCTACTGTAAGCATTCTCCTACCAGCTTACACCCAAAAGAATGTAAAGGTCTACCCGAGGAATAGGATAGCGGACTTAGTACCACTGAAACTTAACTAGATTTGAATAGCACTGCCAGCAAACTGTGGTTTATATTGTTCTATGTCTGGATTGGCCACGAGACCACACCTTCTCAGGTCACTTTCTTACAGATACATGAAAACAGTACTGACCAATTGCCCAAAACAGCACGAAGAATACCAGCTTCTCTCCTGCCAAGAATGCTGAGAAAACATTCCCATAAAATTGGTCACACTTTTCCTTTGCTACACCAAAACTCTGCCTGACCGATTTATTTTGGACTATGCTGGAAGTAGTCAGAGAAAAACAGTAAGCACAAATGTCACAAGAGTACTTTAGAAAAATAATAATCAATGCAGAAAAGGCTATTCTTTTCATTTCTTGAATAATGCTGAAAAACCATTATTCTTCAGATTTGTCATTTGGCTTTTAACTTCTTTCCTATAGTTTTGGAAAATTTAATATTTGTAGCATATGCAATTTTTGTATTCGAAAGACTACAATTTCATGTAACTAATAACTACATTGTAAGGGATCTACTAATTAAATCTCCCCCCCGCCCCATTTTGGTCTCCATGCTTTCTGAAACTATTTGCTCCTTCCTCTGTTGGGCTCATTCCTCTATTACCATCTGATGCCTTTAGCAGTCTACATCTACACTAAGAAAAACCCTCAAACCTCTGCTCTTGTACTCTAATTTTTTTTTTTTTTCCAGTGACCTCATTTCATCTGAATTCATTATGTATCTGTGTTCATTGACTCCCTTTTCCTACTCTCCAGCTTGCTGATCAAAATCCAAGAATGCTTGTCTGTAGCAAAAATCCATTCTGGATTCAACTGCCCATACCCTTCTCTTCCATCTCAGACAACAAACAAGGTGTCCTCTCTCCAGCTGTTTCGGAGCCTGTTCAGCCAGCTTGGGCACCATCCACAGAGGACACCTTACCCAAGTTTCAACCACCCTACTAATAGCTGAAGTTTAGAGAGTACGCTTATGTCCTCCATCAATACCGCAGATATTCATCAACGATACTCTTTTTTGGAATCTCCCCTCATTCTTGGTTACCATATTCTTGCTTCTGATTCTCCTCCCTCTCCAGCAACCCTTCAGAGGAGCTGCCTCAGAGCCAGGAGTTTGGTTTTGTTTTGAGGGAGGTGAAATACGATGTACGTTTCTGATCTCCTCCTCTCTTCCCATGCAGCCTTATTTCTGGGTTAATCTCAGCTGCAACCGTGCGCAAGCTCCGTAATGCAAAGAGACAAGCCTGTTTTCTACTCGACCTATCTCCTTCTACTCAAACTCAACTATTGTTCATCTCTCCTTCTATGCATCCAGTTATAAGTTTTTACTCAAAATGTTAGAGCCCCCCAACGTCTCCTGCAATATCACTTCTCAAAATCTGTGCAAATTATCTTTGTGTCGTTCATGCCTGCCACCTGAGCACTATTTTCAGCTGTATTACTGCATTTAGGATATATTCAGATCTTTCTGGTTGCACATATGTAACGTTTTTAAGAAGCAATACTTCCATAAAAACAGTTTTTTGCTGAGCACTCATCTTTTTTTACTAATGTGTTACTACTTAATAGGACTTTATAAAAACAATAAAGGATATTTTCCCGAGTCTGACAGTGGGAGGGAAAAAGGAAGAAGGTTAGAGATACATGCCCAATCTAGTTTTCCTTTTTTTATACCTCTGCTAGCAGTAATTTGCTAACTTCTTTCCATTACTAAAGACTATCTGGAATTTATATCACTTTACAGCATATGATGCTTTGTAGTTAACTGTGAATGTCAAAAAATAAACTGACTGATAATGCACATATATTAGTTCATCTGTTAACTATAAAAAAATACCTTACACATACATGCAATACTGCTCGCTCTCCTGATGTTTATCTTCAGCATCACATTGTCATAGTATTTCTTGAGGACTCTGGCTCTTAGTGTAAGGATTAACTAAAAAATTTTTTTAGGGTTTTATGTTTGTTTTAGTTTTTACAATCTTTAAGAAAAAACTGAAAAAGCAGGAACCTTGAAGTCCAAAGCTCAAATGAAAAACACAATTCAAACATTATCTGTTGGAGACTCGGGGAAATTTTTAGTGCCGCAGGGAAACAGAAAAGCAGGCAAATACAAACCTAACCTCATGCCCTTTTCAATTACAGTATCATTTTTCTACTTTTCTAGAACAACTGTATGGAACTGTCTTATTTTTAATATACATCAGACCATACTTTTCAGTAGTATGGGTACAGCGGGGAACAGCCTATCACCTGGCAAACATACTCTGAAACAGATACAGGTTCAGTTCATAGTTATATAAGTATCCGAAAATTTAGAAATTTTTCATGCAACATGAATTGTAAATTAATTGCATTTGATTATGGTGATCTATTGCCTTTAATACCTACTATGGAATAAAGAACACGCAAGTGAGCAAACTTTTTCTGTCTCAGAAAAAAAGGTGTTAATGTTGTTGCGCTCACCAAATAATTAAAAGTGTAGACTCTCTGAAAATTACTTGAGTTCCATCATATACTTTATTTATACAGTGATATTTTTATTTATACAGTGTACCACACATATGGTTTTCACCCACAGAGTTTGTGTAAGAATTCGGAACACACTACAGCACATTCAACTGCTACATTCTTTATTTTTGCCTACTTTATACTCCATGAAGTTTTGTCCCTTCTGCACTTTAAGAATTAGAAAATTAATCCCTGGACTTTAATCCCTGGAAGTTAATAAAGACCACTCGGTCAATAACCGTAATGGTATTACA